GTATACGGAAACCGACTACAAAAAGCTAAGACACTTGCACGTTGTACACATCCATGAGGCATATTAATACTACGACAAGTCTTGGAGCTGTACGGCTATCCAAATAGCGAACAAAGGATCAACTGCGGCAACATGCAAGCCCACTACAGTATTGGTTGGGCTAGCATGCAAGCGTGCTCTGCAGCACAGTACATCTGTCCACTCGGATACTACATCCACTGCTCGACTACAACTTTCCATTGCTCGGACTCGACGAACCGGTCAAGGACGAGTTCCAAGCGGTTGACTGGTTTACTTCGTCAGCGACATCCCGCTAGCCCGTTAATTAAGCTAAGTGACGTTTTAATATTCTTCTAAATATTCTCTAATCTTCGTATATCGCCATGGTGTTTCTTCAGGCTATTTTCTTCATGTTTACTCTTCAAACGATTTTCTTTCATGTATACCATCTTAAAGATGACATACAGCTAACCCTAAGTCAAATCATCAAACAGTCATGTTGATGCTTGGATGTTCCCAGAGACGGCCCTGTCTCCGGTTTCTCCCTACACGTGCACAATCGTCTGCCCTCTGCGTTATGGGTGGTCGGCAGCGGCTCCTTAGCTAAGCTTTGTTCTTCCTACACACACGGGCCCCGCGCTCCGCGTTATGGTTAACGGGCTAGCTAGGGCTGGAGACTCAGCTACACACTAACTGGTCGGACGGTTTATATTAAATATAAATATATCTTCGTAATAATACTAAGTGTTCACACCAACTGATCGCCGAGCTACACCACCATTGCTGATTCTTCTCCGAAGTTCATACATTTTTACATCATGTACTACCCGTTCTACATATTTGTATTGCAGGATCATCGTCCAGGTGGTCGAACCACCTGGTGCTCGAACTTTTCTACCGATCAACTGGTCGGACCGCTAGGTTCATGGACTTCGTCGCCGACCAGTTGATCGGACTGTTCGCCGGTAGCTTCTACTCAATGCTCACTTCGCCGCCGACCAGTTGATCGGACTGTTCGTCGCTCGTGCTTCATCATCAGCTATGCTGGGGGTTTACCAGCCGCTACGCCGGGGACTCCTCGGTGTTCGGACATCGCCGCTACGCTGGGGACTCCTCGGTGCTCAGACATCGCCAGCTACGCCGGGAACTCCTCGGTGCTCAGATTCTTCGTGCAAGCGTCGCCAGCTACGCCGGGGACTCCTCGGTGCTCGAATTCTTCGTGCAAGCGTCGCCAGCTATGCTGGGGACTCCTCGGTGCTCGGATTCTTCGTGCAAGCGTCGCCAGCTAACCTGGGGACTCCCTTGGTGGTCGGATCTTGCTACGTCTCATCGGTGTGCTATCAAGCTACTCCATGCTATTCGGATCAAGGTGCTGATCTTGGGCGGCAAGTCTGGGGTCTTGATACGCGCATGTCAGATGACGTCGGCAAGCTTTCAGACTTCTTTTCTTTGATCCTGCTACAAGATTCATTCTTCATCTTCCAGCAGGCTTGGGGACTAAGTGGCTACATTTCACCTAACGGTGAATATAGTGCTTATTTCTTGATTTACCCTCCTTATTGACGGAGTCTAAGTGGCTACACTTCTTCTAAGCGGAAGAATTTTTAAATTTTATCTTGAGCCCCTTACATCTTTTTAGCAAGCCTTACTTGGCTAAGTCTGAGGTCTTCTAACCAGTTAATTTGGTCAGCATTGATTTTCATCGCCTAGGTCACCAGTTAAATTGGCCGGCTTCGACTTTCACCGCCCAGGTCACTAGTTAAACTGATCGGCTTCAATTTCCACTGCTCCGATCACCGGTTAAACTGATCGGCTTCACGTCAAAGTGCTCGGACTTGTTCAAGACAACGTTGTTCAAAGGATACAAGGCGCTCGGGGACTAGCTGTGGGGGATATGACCCCCGGTATCCATAAGACAAGACTTGGGCTGCACCATCAGAAGTGGCCCAGCCCACAAGATCAAGGTGTGCACGACACTGGTCGACGTGCACCGTAAGATATTGTATAGTACCAAATAGGATATTTTCCTTGTAACCCTACCCCTCCAGAGCATATAAGGAGGGGCAGAGGTCATCTACATACATCACATATTCAATACATCAGAACACAGGATGTAGGTATTACGTCATACTGACGGCCGAACCTGTCTAAATCTTGTGTCTTGGTGCTTGTATTACCATCTAGTTCGTATCACGCGCACCCCCACCGATTCATCTACTACCGTGGGTATACCCCTCGGTAGATTGCCGACTAGATTTCGTCGACATCAACCGTGGTATACTCCATATTTTTACAGAGAGACAACGAAAACAACAATGGTACAGTGTTTTGTTTTACAACAAAACAGCCGCGGCCGTCTTATCAGCCATAAAAACCAACAGCCGAACAGCCAAAGGGACTCCTGTACAAGTTACAGCCACCGATAAAAACAACAATAATAACAGCTGTAGGATAGGTGGTAATCTTTGATCGAGTCGAGTGAGCCGGTGAGCAGCGAGTTGCGACACTGACAGATGTGGGCATGTGGCTGTAGATTACTGTGAGGTTTAAATTTAAAGGATTCATCGGGCAGGACGTGGACAGGCGTGATACTGAAAATTGATTTATACTGGTGCTTATGCTGAAATATTATGAGAGAAAAACAATATTCCATGTCAAAAAGTAGCTCTGAATAAGCTCAAGCGAAGAATACGGAAGCAAATAGTACCGACTGCAGTAGATAGATAAATATGGTTTGGTGTTGGGTGGCTGTTTTTTTTTAAACAAAAGGTGTTGGGTGGCTGTTGCCATTACACAACGGCAAGCAATAGCATATATATCCTTGCCGTGCAGGTGCAGCCGTGCAGCCACGGAGTAGCTCCCAGCTGAATTTGCACTCGGACCCTTATATATTCACGTTTTTTGGACTCGTAAGCCTTCCGATAGTGTCGTGTATACGCGCACTGTATTACGTCCATTTTCTTGGACCGTTGCCGCAGTCTACGTACGAGTCCATGTGTACGCATACATGATAGTACATACGTGCCGTATTTGGAGACGCCACATGCCGTTGCAGAAAAATAAGTTAACCGGTGTCGATTTCCGTAGCGGATCTAAAACTAAGATCAGAGTCTATGTAACAGTCAAAGCCAAATCGAACAACCTAGAAAGTAAACAGTCATGTCGTGTGGTCACCGGCAGTGACCGCATACGGCGCAAGCGTACGTACCGCGACGATCGCCACCGTTGGCCACGCCACGTACGTCCCCGTGTATGCGGAGGCTCGGAGTCGCAATATCATCACCTCCCGAGCACCTTTCTGAAAAAACATCCGGCCTCGAGTAGTAATCGGTGGTCAACGCAGTTGGTTGGGAGGAAAGGAAGCAGCAGCAGGCGAGCGGCCGCCGTGGCGTCCCCACCGGGCGAGCCGGCAGGGCGTTCGCCGCGGGACCTACACGCGCCCCACCACCCCCAGTCGCGCGCAGGACGCGTCCCGCTAGCTACCGGCCCCGGCCCCCGCTAGCCGGTAGTCGTTCCTAACTGACTACTGATCCACCGTACCTTGACGATGGACGACTGTATTGACCTCTCTACGGGGCCAGTACCACCGTACATTCTCATTTCATGATCCTACTGTAGTCCTTTTTCTTGCCTCGCACTCCATCCGTCCGTCCCTAAATAACTATCGTTTCTGTTTCCGCATCGTACCTCGGCTTGGATAGCCTCTCTTTTGCACGAGGAGGTCTGCAAATCTATATACACATGCTTATTTTTAAGCTAATATAATTAATCGTGGTGCTTCCAAGGCCATGAAAATCACAAAGCTCAAGTGCTGTGTACCCCGCACGTGTATGAAAATTTTACAGGTCTCTCTCCTATGTCTACTGTAAATGTCGTAAGGATTGTCGGTCGGTATTGTCCAAACAAACTGTGTAATCTTTTCATCTATAAATAAACTGATTTCTAATTTTTTAAATAAGTATTTTTTTGAGGTTAACAACTTTGTACAAAATAATGGCACGCATCTATGACAAAAACTGACTTAGGGGAACTTGAGTGAGTATTATATTGGCACATAATTCGTTGAACCACGAGGACTGAGGGCCTTCATGTGTCCTTCAAAGTGTTTCAACGACGCCATACGAGAATAGAAGAGGAAAATTTCTGTTTCAAAAAACTGTTTGTACATAATATAATCATAATATATATACTCCTAGTGAAAGTCCGAAACCATATTGACTTTTGATAAAAGAAGAATAGTACTACCTTGTGGGGATTGGGGAATGGAGACGTACTTGGTGGGGCTGCAAATGTATCGTCCCTTCACTACTGATGTGGGCCGTTTTAGGGAGAATGAGGAATACTGATGTGGGCCGGCTCTAGGTGGAATGGTAAGGTAAACGAAGGAGGATAATAAGGAAAGCCCAAAAATAATACTGTTGTGGGCCGGATTCAGGTGCAATGGTAAGGAAAGCCCAAAGTATATAATATGACATTTGGGCTGGACAAAAAGTTTTCAATTCGCAAAAACGAAAAAATCTAGATGGAAATGCGGGGTATCGATCCCCGTACCTCTCGCATGCTAAGCGAGCGCTCTACCATCTGAGCTACATCCCCATTTGGAAAGGCGGACAAATGGATAATTTAAAATGTGTTCTCTCGGATCTCTGAGTGACGCCCCTGCTCCCGTGGACAGCCGGTCTCCAGCTCGTAGCGAAGCGACCGCCCGTCTCGTCGATGCGTGACTTCATGGGCCACGTGCTGCCGGGCACGCTGCTGCTGGAGGTGGGCCTGTGGCGGGTCTGGGCGTCGGTGGCACGCTTCGCGACCGACCCGCCGGCGGCGTTCCGCGTCCGCGCCTGGGACCCCGTCCCGGCCGGCAGTGCCTGCACGGCTCCTGGAGCTGCACGCGGTGGCCGGCGGCGCGTTCCTGGACATGTGCGTGGAGCTCTTCTACGCCAGCCCGCTCCGCGTCGTCCTCACCGGCGGCGGCCCACCTCGGCAGCCTCGAGCACGCCGGCATGCTCCTCATGTTCTTCCTCTTCGGCGCGCTGAGCCTGGTGTTGGCGAGCGCATTCACGGCGGAGTTCGTCCCTGCTGTTCCACTTCCACTCCACCACGCACACAGGGCAGCTGGAGGGCTACTACCACGCCCTCCCTCCTCCTCGTCCTCCTCGCGCTCTGCATCGCCGCCATCGTCGCCGGCCGGCGCGCTCCTGCCCTCCAGGAATGCCTCCCCGCGGACCTCGGCGCCGGCCAGCGTCCTCATCGCCGTCCAGGGCCTGTGGTTCTACCATACCGCGCTGGCGCTGTACGGGCCAATGCTCCCCGCGGGTTGCGCCCGCCGCTTCGACGGCTCGCCCCACTCCGACGCACGCGTCGAGTGCCGTGGCGGCGGCGCCGCGGCGCAGGAGCGCGCCGAGCAGCTGGCGGACTTCCAGCTGTTCGGGATCGTGTTCCTCGCGTTCGTGTACGTGCTCGGGTGCTTCGCCGTCGCCGCGGCAAGGTATGGGAATAACCTGGAGACCTCCGCCGTCCTTACTGGGCCTTCGCTTGGGCTTGGAGCTTCGAGAACAGCCACACCTTCATGAGCTGAGGTTAATAACCTTTGTTGGGCTAGAATTTTGAGGCCCGTGGCACCTTCGTGTGGGTCATTTGGACCTCTGCCTGATTTGTGCTTCGTGTGCCCAAGGAGATTGGGCCGGCTGGATGGAGCTTTGCTAGGCCTAGCTCGACAGAAATTCAAATTCATAGGCTGTTGTCATTTCACACAGACCAGACCTTCCCGAGAACGCGAGATGTGGCGGCGACCCTAGCGGAGCATAGGGGCTACGGCAGACTTCGTCGACGGCTGCGGCGGCGAAGGAGATCCGACGCCAGGCATCCTCCACTGATCTTCCCTCGTCTCTATCCTGTTCGGGCTGACCCAGGGGCTGCTTTACGCAGCTTCCCGGCCTTGGCAGGAGGGGATCTAGGGTCTGGTGGTGGTGGTTGGACCGGTGAACCATGGCGGATGAATCAGGCAAATGGAAAGCGAGGAGAAGAGAGCTTGACGTCGGCAAGCTATCGCAGGAGCTTACGCTTAGCGATGCTGAGCGGGATCGTGGATTGTGGTGTTGGCATGTGATGGCGACGACGCCGTCCAGAGGTTTGAGTGTTATGGATGGGATTTTGTCCGTGATCCGAGCGTTCTGTTTGGGAGATTGGAGGCGCATAATGGAAGACGGGGCGGGCTCCCTCGAGGATTGTCGCCATCCCCAATGAGTTGTCTAAGTTGGAACTGTCGCGGCCTTGACAACGCTGCGACAGTGAAAGAGCTTCATGAGTTGGCGAGGCGTTTTGTCCCATCAATGCTCTGTGTGCAAGAAACTAAAGTGCACAAGACACGGGTGGAGAATTTGAAAAACACTCTCGATTTTGATCATGCTTTTGCTGTAAGCAGTATGGGCCGTAGCGGCGGACTAGGTATCTTTTGAAATAATAATATGCGAGTGGAACTGTTACCATACTCACAATATCACATTGATGTTATTCTTACAGAGGGTGATAATGAGCCTTGGAGGTTAACATGTGTGTATGGAGAGGCGCAGTTAGGTGAGCGACACAAGACGTGGAGTTTGCTTAAGTTCATTAAGTCATCATCCTCACTGCCGTGGGTTTGCATTGGTGATTTTAATGAGGTTTTACATCAATCGGAACACGTGGGCGTTTAAGAAAGGAGCAGAGCTTAGATTGAGGGGTTCCGAGAGATGGTTGACGTATGTGCACTACTACACAAAATCTTTTGCGAGGCGTTTTCCAATTGGCCTCCGAGGCGGTTAGGCCGGTTGCCCGCCTCGGCTATTCGTGGCAGTGCAGCCGGCCCAGCAACCGCCTCGGTTAATTATTAACCGAGGCGGACAACCTAACAGGCCCGCCTCGGTTAATACATTAACCGAGGCGGTTATTTTATAAGGCCTCAATGACCTCGGTTTTGAGGGCCGCAATTGGACTTTTGAAAAGAAGGTAGCGGGAGGTTCTTACTGTTGTGTCCGCCTAGACCGTGGTCTGGCCACAACAGACTAGTGCAGCAGGTTTTCTGTGTGCAAAAGTTAAACACTTGGCAGCGGCAACTTCTCATCATGGGCCGATCCTCCTAGACTGGAGACCGGCAGTTCACAGGAGACGACATGGAAAACGCTTCAGATATGAACAAAATGTGAGAGACACACCCAGAATTTTCAGGCACGCTAGCGGAGTCCTGGCAGCGGGAAGGTGAGGCAAAATCTTTGAGCGAACTACAGGAGAAGCTGAAAGGCGTGTCCGGGCATTTATCTGTTTGGGAGCGCACAACCTTTGGCCAAGTGCAAGATGAGCTGCGGAATCTAAACAAGAGGCTAGAGGATATGCAGTCAGATCCACGATGGTTGGGCCTTTCCCAGCCGGAATTGAAGCTGGTTGAGCGAATTCAAGAGCTCAACCACCGTGAAGAGATTATGTGGAGGCAAAGGTCTCGAGTTATGTGGCTGACAGCTGGTGACAAGAACACCCGGTTCTTCCATTTAAGGGCGAGCCGAAGGAGTAGAAACAAAATCTCTCAGCTAAGAAAATCGGATGGGCAATTTACTGAGGTTGATCTTGAGCTCCATACGATTGTCACCAATTTCTATAGCAACTTGTTTGCTTCTGAGGGTACGAACAATATGGAAGAGGTGCTCTCTACTATCCCAGTGAAGGTAACAGCTGACATGAACATGATCCTACTTGATCCCTACAAGGAGGGGGAGGTCAAGGATGCTTTATTCCAAATGTTTCCGACAAAGGCACCGGTCCCGATGATTTTCCGGTGCACTTTTTTCAGCGACATTGGGAGCTTTGTGGGAAAGAAGTCACAGCCATGGTGATGAAACTTCTGAATGGCGAGGAAGAGCCAAAGGGCATCAACTAGACTCTAATCGCTTTGATCCTTTTGATCCCCAAAGTGGCTAGCCCGGAGGAAATTGGGCAGTTTCGACCAATAAGCCTATGCAATGTTATTTACAAAATTGCATCCAAGGTGTTGACGAATAGGTTGAAGATTTTCTTGTCAGAAATTATTTTAGAGGAGCAATCGGCCTTTGTTCCAGGCCGCCTCATTACTGACAATATTATTTCCGCTTATGAGTGCCTGCATTTTATGAAGCGGAAACGAGCGACTGGTCTGGGATGCTGTGCTTTAAAGTTGGACATGAAGAAGGCATATGATTGAGTCGAATGGGTGTATCTCGACGCGATAATGCGCTGGCTGGGCTTCCATCATCGTTGGGTTGACACAATTATGAGGTTTGTCCGATCAGTTTCATTTTTAGTTCTATTTAATGGTGATAAGCTGGAGAGTTTTAGACCGACTCGCGGCATACAACAAGGAGACCCAATTTCTCCCTACTTGTTCCTTCAAGCAGCATAGGGCATTTCGTGCCTGTTAAAATCAAGAATTCAGTCATAAGAACTCAAAGGTATTATGGTGGCACCGTCGGCTCCGATGGTGAGTCACCTCCTCTTTGCAGATGACAGCCTGCTGTTTTTTCAAGCAAATAAGGAGAATGCTTTGTTTATCAAGGTGGTCCTACAATCATATTGTTCAGCGTCGGGGCAAAGGATCAATATGGAGAAATCCTCCATACATTTCGCCAAGGGCGTCATGCAGCAATGTTGTGATGTCATCAAGAGGGAGCTGGAGGTTAACAATGAGGCTTTGAGCAAGAAATATCTCGGTATGCCTTCAGATGTTGGGACTGTTACCAACGGTGCCTTTAAATATTTGAAGGACCGGGTTTGGAGCAGGGTTGAGGGGTGGATAGAGCGGTGCTTGTCTGCTGGCGGCAAGGAGATCTTGATTAAAGCAGTGCTGCAAGCTGTTCCCACCTATTCTATGTCTTGTTTCATACTGCCAAGGGGGCTTTGTGAGCATTTGACTAGCTTGATGCGGAACTTTTGGTGGGGTTGTAGAGATGGCAAGAGGAAACCATGCTGGGTAGCCTAGGACTAAATGATCAAGTCTAAATCTATCGGTGGCTTGGGCTTTCGAGACATGGAGCTGTTCAATCTAGCTTTGCTGGCTATGCAAGCTTGGAGAATATTACAGGAACCGACGTCCTTGAGTGCTAGCATTCTTAAAGCTGTCTACTACCCAGGGGGTCGGCATTTTCTAGAGGCCGATCTTGGTTCCTCCACGTCGTGCATTTGGCGTTCGATCGTCGATGGACGCGAGGTGCTGAAGGAGGGATTGATAAAAAGAATTGGAACAGGAGAAACGACGATAATTTAGACGACGAACTGGCTACCTTTGGAGAGCTTACGTCGCCCCATTAGGTTGGATAAACCAAACTCTCCTTAGATGGTTAGTGAACTAATTAATCAGGCTGAAGTGGCGTGGAAATATGACATGCTGGAGGAGTTCTTCACCCCTCTTGACGCGATGACGATTGCCAACATACCACTATGTACAAAAAGGCAAGAGGACTTCTGGGCGTGGCACTTTGACAAACGGGGCAGCTTCTCGGTACGCTCGGCGTATCATATGCTGGTCCGTTGACGGGAGCAGCACGACGCAGCCGTGCAGAATATTGCAGGCCGGTCGGATCACTGGACTGATTCGAAGGAATGGATGTCGCTATGGAAGGTGAGAGTCCCCTCAAATATCCGCATTTTTCTCTGGCGATTACCGAAGCACTCTCGCTGCCGACCGGAGACGTGCTTCACCACAGGAAGATGGCACAAGGCAGCACCTGTTTTTTCTGTGGGATGGAGGACTCGTGGAGACACTCTTTGCTAGAATGTAACATGGCGAGATGCATTTGGGCACTAGAGAAGGAAGAGACAGTGGAGCTCTTGAGTGGAATTCTGGAGAATGACGGTAAGTCTTGGCTGGCGATCATGGCTGAAATCCTACCACAGGAAGATATCGCTAGAGTGGTGATCACATTGTGGGATATTTGGTTTGCACGATAGAAGGTGATCCATGAGGATGTTTACCAAAGCCCTCTATCGACGCATAATTTTGTGGACAGGCTTGTGTTGGAGCTAGGGGAGAGGAAGCAAGTGTAGCGGCCCTAGGCTCGGGTGTACCAGAGTAGGCCGACATGGATTGCACCCCCTCAGGTGTTGTTAAAATCAATCTCGACGCGGCTTTATCCAAGAACACATCAACGGCTTCGGCGGTAGCAATAGCAAGAGACGAGGATGGTCGATTTATGGGAGCCTCGGCGCTGGTCCTTCAGGGAATTGTCGACCCGGAGGTGGTGGAATCCATTGCATGCAGAGAAGGGATGGCTCTCGCTTCAGACCTACGAGCTGACAGTTTCAGGTTAGCCAGTGACTGTCTGAATGTCGTGAAGAGTATCGAACAAGGTGATCTCGAAATATATGGACAGGTTATTCGGGAGATCAATGCGAGGAAAGCAGCTTTTAGAAGTGTCGAGTTTGTACATGAGCATAGGGACTCAAATACTGATGCTCATAGGATAGCTCATAGCTCAATCCATGCTGAGTTAGGGTGGCATGTTTGGTTCTTAAATCCACCTAATGGTGTTTGTAATATGTGCAATCCTCCTAGCTAAATAAAGAGGGTGGT